CGAGTGATACGTAGCAAATTTCAACTGTTACGTATTGAGGCTCAACAGATCTATTGAGTATAAGCTGGTATCAGTACAACCTCTACTGGTACCAACTGACACTCATCAAATATCTGTAGACTTTCAACTGGTACCTATCAGTTGATTAGTTCAACCTCTACTGGTACCAACTGCTACTCATGAGATATCTGTCGACTTCCAACTGGTATCAGTTGATAACAGTCGATATCAGTTAATATCAGTTCATTTTCTCTGCTGATCTTAAGGTGATTCGTCAAGCTCAAGTGACGTGGTCGAACTGGCATGCGATACATCGCATCTTTTAGGTAAAAAATCTCGGCAGATTTTGAATTTTCAGCAAAAAAAAGGACGATAGCCCCTGCGCATGAGCCTGAAGAATCATTCTAAACCCAAAAATCGGCAAAATTCAGAGAAATGAAAGCAGGATAATGTTTGGAAAAAACCTCGCATTCGATACCGAAATCGATAGCTGAATCGAATGCGATGTTTTTTTCTAAACACTATCCTGCTTTCATTTCTCTGAATTTTGCCGATTTTTGGGTTTAGAATGATTCTTCAGGCTCATGCGCAGGCGTTATCGTCCTTTTGTTTGCTGAAAATTCAAAATCTGCCGAGATTTTTGACCTAAAAGATGCTATATATCGCATGCCAGTTCGACCACGTCACTTGAGCTAGGCGAATCACCTTAACTGCAGATCAATATTTTTAACAGGGGTAAATTGCCAACTCGATTTTTTGCTAATGGATTTGCCTGAAACTTGTAGCATAGAGGTATTTTGGCATGAAATTAACAAATTTGAAATTGGATTTCTAAGGAAAAACGATTAAAAAAAACCATACGATATTTTCTCACAATTAAAAGGTAACGCCTTTACATACATACGGTGTTCAAAAAGTTTTGCACACTTCCAGATTTTGAGCGAACGAAAGCAGCTACCTATCGATTTGCAGTTTACGTGTGCTTTAAGTAGACGTAATTATCAATTAAACAAGACCAAGAACGACTCTATAGCTTAAAAATTGACAGAGATATAGGGTTTTGAAAATGACATGTAGCGCGACCCCCTCCAGGATTTTTAGCTACAAGTATGTTTAGGTATCAGCTAGGGGAAAAACAGTTAAATGAGAATTGAGTGTTTTTATTGAAAAAACTTACAAAATCTTACGAAAATTGACGAACTTCAAATTTCTTCATCGGATGACACGGATGACTCAACATTCGGCTGTTTTTCGAAGTATTTTCCACCACTTAGAACACAAAGCTTCAGCCGCTCTGTCCAATTCACAAGGATCGTCTTTTTGAAATCTTCTTGACGGAGGGTTTTGAAGCATTTTCGAACAGCGGTTTTGATCTAGGCTTTGAAATGGCTCTTTTCTGAGTTAAAGAAATTTCTGAGAGGCACACGGTTTGATTTCATAGCCTAGATCAAAACTGCTGTTCGAAAATGCTTCAAAACCCTCCGTCAAGAAGATTTCGAAAAGACGATCCTTGTGAATTGGACAGAGCGGCTGAAGCTTTGTGTTCAAAGTGGTGGAAAATACTTCGAAAAACAGCCGAATGTTGAGTCATCCGTGTCGTTCGATGAAGAAATTTGAAGTTCGTCAATTTTCGTAAGATTTTGTAAGTTTTTTCAATAAAAACATTCAATTCTCATTTAACTTTTATTCCCCCGATAAACATATTTGTAGGTAAAAATCCTGGAGGGGGTCGCGCTACATGTCATTTTCAAAACCCTGTATCTCTGTCATTTTTTAAGTTAGAGAGTTGTTCTTGGTCTTGTTTTATTGGTAATTACGTCTACTTTAAGCACACGTAAACTGCAAATCGATAGCTGCTTCCGTTTGCTCAAAATCTGGAAGTGTGCAAAACTTTTTGAACACCCTATGTATTTACTGTGTCACAAGAATTTAAGCACCTAAAAAGCACCTAATGCTTCTTGTGATACGGTGAGTATGTAAAGGGGTTAGGTACCTTTTAGTTGTAAGAAAGTATAGCACGGTGCTTTGACAGTATTCTCGGACAGCATATTACCTCCATGACCGCTTCTCAGCTAAAAAAACTGCAGCAAATTAACCTCAGAGAAACCATTAAAAGCTTGACAAGAAATTGTGTCCCACGTTCATCTTATAATTCACTTTAATAACCAAAATTTGCCTCAGTACAGGCCTCGGTTAGTCATTCTAGGGGTAGATGCGGAACTAAAATTGCTGTCTACAAAAAAATTCGAATATTTTGCTTTTCAAGAATTATATTTTTAAGAGTTTCTGTAGAGCTATATTTGTGAAGGACAGACTTTTTGGTCAATTATATTACAGCCAATGTGGTGCGAAAAATAAAAAGCCGTCGGGCCTCGTAGACCTGCTTCGTTATCTAAGGGTTTAAGCACCGCTGTTCTTTATTCTACGGTTTGCGAGTTATCCAGAAATATTACTCAAGAATTAGGTGACTTTCATACCTACATACCTAATTTCGTTTTTCACCGATGAAAAACTTAAATTATTCCATGAAACAGTTCGTTGCTTCCCACTGCCTTTTCTCGTGAGCTACCTACACATGGAAGACTATTGCATCGTCAACATTTATCGATTTTAAAATTGGGGGGAGGGTAGGTGCGGGTAGGTGTCCAAACTTTTGGGGGCCATAGACCCACCAAAACTTGAGTTACAAATTGATTTTATTTTCGTCTTAGAAGACGTTACTTAGCAATTACAAACCATTTCCATTGTCAATATTAATCGATCTCAAGGAGGAGGGAATGGCCCCTACATTTCAGGATGCCAAGTACCCCTCGTAGAAAGAGATACAGAACATTTCTGGGGCTTGAAAAACGTAAAAAACTCTCTAGGATAGCTGCATAAGAAACCTTTGGAGCTGGATAGTAATTTTCGTATTGGTTATGCGATATGAAGCGCACGATAACATATTCAAAAGCAAAGCAATAGAGGAACTGCAAATCAAATTTCAGAAATCAATCAATTTCAAAAAGGAATTTTTTATAGGGAAAAAATATAAATTACATCATTTGTACCCCCGTTCAGAGGTTGATTTCCAAACCTCTCGTTGTGTGCATCATTTTTTACATTAAATTTTGAAGAGAAAATAAGTGCCGCTAATTTTTCAATTCAGACCGTGTTCATTGTTCAATTCTATTGTGACCATGTTCATGTTTCAAGATCGTCCTCCAGATAGCTTTTCCACGAATACGTCTTTTCCCGTTAAAAATCTGAATTTCCAGGGATCATGTGGCAAGCCTGGAGAGCTCCGAAGAATCCAAAATGAAATTTTCTTGAATCTACAGCATCAACGTACATATCCCTTTTGGAAAGACAGGGTAGCGGGAAAAATCCAGAAATCTCAGACTGTGGTTCTGTTGTGGCACGTTTATTTTCAGTGATTTCAAGCGAAATGTGGCATCGGCATGTCAGCAGAATGGCTGATTGTTGATAGTGCGTTGATCATATACTTCGTTTGACGTCATTAATTGGCATTGAGCGGAGCCTAGTGCTCGTCTTTATAAATGAAGCACCGTCTATTTCAGGGGCTGTCTCTCTCGTTCATTCTGACTTACCGACACCTCAGAGTTTAGTATCCTAACCAGCTCAAGTGTGCCTGGAGAGTCACCTGTATAGTGAAGTAAGTCGTACATACATAACGTCTCTACTGCACACATTGGTCTTCCTTCTCTCTGACCAACTCCTTAAAATCCTTCACCCAACATGGTGGTAGGGGCCATGATCCTTCAAACCTCTCGCTGAACCCTCCTTTTACCAATTCTATGCCGCAACGTGTGCAAAAATACCTTAGTCGATTTTTTCATTGCCTTATTAAGTAACAGGAAATTAATTAAGATGAGATTAGTTGAAAACTTAATTGATGAATATCCCTTGTGGAAAACGCTCATTTATTTGGACGCAGATATTCAAATTAACAAAAAATCTTTGGCCAATATTGTAGGTACTTTTGAATATATCATTTTTAGAAATTATTATGAATCAGAATTAGAAAAAGGACTTGTTCATTCCGCAAAAGAGGAATATAGCATTGTAGAATTATCTTTGAGTGAGAAATTTAATTTAATTAAGGAATTTTTGCAATTTTTCTTTGAAGATGATATCGAAAAAGCCTTAGATTATTAGTTAATAAATGTCCATTAGATTCTGAATGGCGCTAACTTTTATTACATAAAAGTACTAAACAATACCTACATTTTTTAGGTAAAGAGTAAAATGTACAAACTTGGTTCTGACAATAGTCGATTTGTTAACAGGCAAAGCTGATAAAATGAGTGGAGTTATGCAGAATTTTGCGTTCCTTTCCTAAAGAAACAATAATTAAATTTGCAACTGTGTACTAGCGATAATATAATTCTATTGGGCACTGTAAATTTTGAGGAAGATAGCGTGGACTCTCAGGCTCCTATAATCCACGAAGCTATTCCAACAAATTTATATTTTAATGACGATGGCACTATTAAAAATTGTTGGTCACTAAACACAGCTGCATAAAAAACATAGCATTTAAGGAATTTCATCAAATTCCCTTTGATTGGCTTTACAAGTATAGAACATGCTAGGAAACTGCTAGCAAAGCTCGAAAAAGAAAGGTCCATAATTAGATGAAAGGAAAATTCCTGAGGAGGACAAGAGACGGAAAATCAAGGAATCTATTCTTCAACCTTTAGAGAGACACCTGAGAGACCCAGCGTTAACAATTTCACAGGGGTCATGTGTCTGATCCTCGACGTTTTTCCTGGTGTAGATCCGCCTACATAATTGTTCCTCTCAATAAGTACTACAGGCATGAAACATACTGAAAAATTGCCGTTTCTGACGTAAAATATCGAAAAAATCGGGATCGAACGCGGAAGGTCGGGATTTCAAGGTTCTCCAACGAACACCTTGTTTAAGAGCAATCAACTCTCATAATGTGTAGTTTTCTGAGAAATAAAAACTGGTAGGGAGAGTTAACAACATGAAAATAACTAAAAGATGAACGCTTTTTATTTGGCAAGGCACCGACACGACACTTCAACATTCATTGACAAAGTCAATTAATTCGAGAATAGAAATATTGTTTTCATGCAATAATGAATTACATCAATCTATGAAGTACTACTTGGATGCTCAATTTCTAAAATAATAAATAACAAGAAATAAATAACTTGGGCAAGCATTATCAACAATCTTTAGACGGTAAAAAAAATGTTACAAAGGGATTTCAAGATTGGCTGAGCAGCATTTATTAAATCTGTGCCCACTCTCTAATAGCCTCATTAGACAGTCAAAGTAAGTAATTACAAAGAATAAAACAAGGAGTCATTCATGCTGCCTCCACATCTTTGGACATTCATGCTTCCTCACTTTGTTCAAAGTTCAATCATTTAATACGGGCATTGTTTCCTGGTACTTTTCTTAGATAGCACTTAAAAATAATACATCAGTATGGTTATGAAAAATCCGGTGGTTGCAATAAATTTTGGTAAAAGGAACATAAGTTGCAGGCATCACAGCTTAGTGTTCCATTCCAATCTTCCAGGAAAGCAAGTGATATGTTGAAATAACACAGTCTATTGGGATACTAGGTAAGTAGGTTCAGTAATACTTAATGGGACTATTCAAAGAGACAATGGACAGCATCAATCATTGCGCTTGTGGATACATAAGTTCTTGGAAAAAAATCTCCACACATAGAGAATATGAAAATGAGATTTGCATAGATCTTTGCTATTATATGTACAGCCGAAAGATTCAAGTGCATTCTGACACACACTCACACAAACACACAACTTACCTACTCAAGACAATAACACTTCAACACTGACTTGGATGTTTAGAGATATTTTTGATATGTTATACGATACAAAAGGGCATCAGTTTCTAACTTCAGCATATTCTGGAATTAACTGTCTCTGTCCAGAAATCACATGAAAAATAAGTTCAAGTAAAGTAGGCACCAAGACTTACTATTGCAAGAGGAAGTTTAATTATTGGGTTAAGACTCAGGTTGAATTACATTGAGGCAACACAACTTCACTCTTTACAGATAGAGGGAAGGAAGTATGAGGGGCAAAAGATGCGAAGAAAGAAAGAAAGAAATAAATAAATAAATAAATAAAAACACCTCGAGAATCCATCTATGAAAGATGTTAAAGTTGATTTTCCAAGAATTGATTGAAGATTGATTATTTAAAGAAAGTATTCTATCCGGCCCATTTGAATCGATTACACCTGACTACAGCCGTAAATTAATTTTTAAAATGTTTCGTTTGCTGGACTATGAGGCGAATTTAAAAGGATCACTACTCAAGCTAATTTTGTACAAATAAGTGTATGAAAATTTGGATATTCTGATTTATCCAAAAGATCTTCTATTGCTTGAAACCTACTTTACTTCTAGATCAGACCTAGGTCTAGTTTTATTGTACAATTAGAGGATAAAAGAATACTCACTTAAAATGAAGCTGTTTTCAAACGATTTTTGTGAACATGAGATTCAAGACTTTTTGACTAGAGATTCTATTTGCTCTGAAATTCTTCATGCTGGACCAAGAAACTAGTTTTGAATTGAGGAGTTTCTATGCACATTTCTTCTTAAATATTTAGATTTAGAACGGTAAAGCAAATCAAATGCTACAAAAATTAATTTTGAAGTAAGTAACTGACAATTGCACTGCATAAGTGTGTAAACCATAAGAAATATGTCATCATTCTGTTTAATTTTTTTTTCTTTTTCTTTCATTTAAAGGTGATAATTGAGATTGCAGCAGCTCATATCAAAATTGGGGTTTAATTTTTTTCACTAACTGTTGCAAGCACTTTTTTCAAAACCAAATTCCGAAGAGAAAACTGCAAAACATGCTTTGATTCAGACCATAGTTCCTGGCCAAAATTTTTTGATACTCCGTAACATCAATGAAGCAATTTTTCTGAAGAAAAATTTGAGTTTGAGTCTTTTTCATTAACGAGGAACGTTCCAATGATGAGAAAACTCCAAGTCTCCAAAGAAAATACTCTAAAATTCTTCTTGAAAAACCCTTAATCATTAATAAGTCATCAGTTTATACTTCACAAGCAAGGCATTTCTTAAATTGACAAAACCTAATCGAATTTCTACAGAAGCTCATTTCTAAGAGATAAGGGTAGCTCCGAGAATTACTTAAACAATAATGAAATGTAATGAAAACAGATTCTTTTTAATCCCCAATGCAGCTCAATTTTGATAAAAAAATATTGCACTTCACAAATAAAATGAAGGATTCGAGACGACCAATCACAGCTCAGTGGTGATTTCATCTTGGGGGCGAAATCCCAACTGGAAAAAATCATCGTCTTCAGTTGGTGTGTAGTCCTGACTATTTGCATTCCACTCTGCTAAGATAGTGCAGTTGTTCTGCTCTGACTCCCAGCCATGGGCAGCGCTCACATCAACACCGCTGTCTAACAATGATGGCGGCTGCCGCAGAAACATGGCTGCCACTTCGTCCCTCCTTAACATAGCAAAATCATCATCATCATTGCTTAATCGGCTATAACAAATAAAATAACACATGGACAGGTAAAAAAACACATTACACTAAGACTTCTTCACTAGCTACCGTTGCTTACATTAATTATTTTCCATGCTTATGTAGGTATTCACATATTTTAAATATTGTTTCATAGGAAAATAACGGCAGCCTTTTGTACGATATATGAAAATTTTCCAGATTTTGCTGTGGCGCTATTTTGTAATCTGAACTTTTGTGCTTCTTTTGGGAATGGGTTTCTTAGCCCGTTTGTATTATAATAAATGAATAAAAGTTAAGAGCTTTTTTCTGGACTTCTCACAAACAGTATTTAACAACTACAACATGTCAAGTGTCAATGCAACAATGTAGGTATCATACCTCCATGTATTTTGTTATAGAGGTAGTTCTTGTTTCCCAAAATATATTTGGGCCACTTTTGATGGCAGGCTGTTCTGAATTCTTAATTTGTTATCTATTGCATGTGTCTATGTATAGTATTTCCTGTTAGGATTTCGTACTTTTTCAATCCTCAAAGTAATTTTAAAATTCCTATGAATAGTGCAATTGTTTTTTAGTTCAATATGGACTTGATCAATAATACGTTAGGATAAAAAAAGAAGGATAAGAAGTGAACAGTAAGAGTGAAAACACAGGGTACTACAAAATTTGGTGCTAAGTCGCAGAGAAAACTGGCCGGAAATGGTCAGAGGAGAAGGTGACGGAAAGGCAGAAGGAAAAATAGGGGTAGAGTAAGAGCTCTGTTTGAGGAGGAGTGTGCACAAGTAGGGGAAATGCTACCCTGCATGAGTGCCAGAGGGATAAGAATGCGGCGTGCACCATAGAATGGTAGGGGTAGCAGACTACCCAAGCATTCTGCGTTACTCTTAAGATTTTATATTATAGAGTATAAAATGAGACTTTAGAAACCAAAAATGTCTGGTCAGTTCGCGTCACCAACTCTGATTTTGAAACAAAAGAGAAATTTTAGGCAATGAGTAAATGATTGAGGGATTGATTTTCAAATAATATTTTTCTAACAGGGGTGTTCACGAAAATTGTAATGTGGAACTAAAATTTTGGCTTCCAGGAAAGAAAAGTCATTAGAAAGGTATGTTGCCACAATTGACAACACAGTTTGGCTGTTGCATTCAGTGTAGTATTCATATTGTCACATGAAACCAGAAGTTTTAAAAATGTCATCGAATTGTTCGTTATCAAGTCATTTTGGACGAACTGTTACTGGTAAGACAGATGGGTCATTAGGGTGCGTCAAAAAAAAATGAAAGTCTGAAATGTTCCGCTCCCCAGGCGGCAATCGATGACGTTTAGTAAAAAAACATGTTTGCCAAAATTTGGGCCCATTTCAATCATTTTAAATGGTGCCAAAGGTCAATTTTGTGATGAAATTATGATATTTTGGTTTAGACCTCGATTTCGTACAAAAAACTCGATTTTACGCTGAAATCGTGCGTTTACGAGAAAAATGTCAAAGAACTCGACTTGTAGAGGATGAAATTTTACACTAGGAGGACGTCTTTGTAACCGATAAAAATCAAATTGAACTAGAAAAACTCAACTCGGTATTTATTTTTTGGTCCTCAGAATTTCCGAGGTCTTACTAAGTAGAGGTTTAAAAGACTCATTTTTCACGAAAATAAGTCGAAAGAGGGTATAAATGAACTGTAGGCAAGTGTTGAGGATGCAAATGTCATCAGAACTTCCTCAGTTTCAAAAAAAGTTCCAACTATTTTGCACAATCCTCCAAAAAGTGTACGACTCGAGAAGCAGGATCGTGCTTTAATAGTAGGGGGAAAGTGCGGTTTGACCGGGAAAAATTGCGTAACAAACTTTCCCTAT